GACAGGCATTAAGGAAATTATCACCAACTAGAGAAAGTCTCAATTGTTTAGCAAATTCTCCTTGTCAGCACCTTTGGAAATATTATAGAGGGTAGTAAGGGAGGTTCAAGATCATGTTTCGCAGAAAATAAATTGGTCCTTTCACAATTCACGGAGATAACATTGCTGTTGAAAATACAACCAAAGTAACGGTTCATGACAAATTAAATACTTCTTTCTCATTTCACAGAGAATGATTTTGGAAAATCACAGTTAACGGCTACAAATGAAATCACGATTCATGAGAAAAAAAACAAGCCATTTAATGTTTCACGGGAAGAAAATGGGCCATTCATGAATCACAAAAATGCCCTTTACTACCCTCTATGTAGAGAAGAGTATCAAGTATTGCACACTTGCATCGGGGTGTAAATGGGTGAGAAACGTATAGAGCTCAGCTGTACAGAGAATATGCCTACTTTTGTACAGGGTGTGAAGGATTCTTAAGTGCCTAGTCGGCAATTTACAGTGTGTTTTATATCCTTAACCTATTGAAGCTTCTTATTTGTCTAAATACTGTAACTGAAGCTAAGTAATGTTATCAATGAAGTAACCAAGATGGTGTTTGTATTTTTTTTCCCTTTGATTTCCTCCGTGAAACAGGTATTTGAAAAATGTTGATAAGTTCAATGAATGGTTTGTGTCAGCTTTTGTGACAGCCTCAGATATCCTTTTACTTTAACACATTATGAACCACATAACAATAAGTTGACAAAATATTGTGTCTAGAGAATGTAGTCATGGTGTCAGATGCATAAAAACATCATATGAGGTTAGGATGAATAGGGATAAGAATAAGTTGGCAGTGTACAAGCTGTACCCGCCCAGGTCAGACCAGAGTAGATAAGCTGCACCCTGGACTTGTTATAAAAACTTGGTTTAACTTTTTTTCCTTACACTCAATTTAACCTAAACAAAGACCACTTTCATTTGCTCTTGTAAAATTTGGAATTGAGATGATGTTTTCCAGATTTTACATTTTGTATGTACAGAGTAGCCAATACAAATAGCAAAATTTATACTAAAATGTAGTAGAGATAATAATGTGGCTAGACCGTCTACATGCACGTGATCAGACGGAAAAAAAATTCACAAGAAAGAAGGCATGGAGTCACATGTTTATAAACAAACGCACAATCAAAATGTGCACTCATTAACTTGAATTTTGGATACAACTATATAATAATTCAGAACAATATGGAACTCTACAGTGAAAAACATTTTAAAAAAGGGTGTGCAAGGGACTCAAGTTCTTATTTCCCTTGACTTATTTAATGTAAGAGATTTATGATGCTTCATGATGTTAGAAATGATGATGGAATAAAGAATTTTTTTGCTGATGTCTATGAAACATATATCAAGGTACATGTATTTTGAGATTCTTAATATTACTTTTGCTTAAATGCAATGTACACAAACAAATGACTTGTCATAAACAAGAAAATGTAGATTATGTTTTGGTAATTTTTTTTATGAACTTTCCAGGTGCATTCTATGGATTAAGTCTTTCACAATGATGCTGTTGTTATTTATCATTGTTATGACTTTACAGCCCCATGCATGCAACTCCATGGAAAATCATTTTAATCATAAAA